TTGAGGAGGATCCAGACTGGGTGGCTTCAGATGAGTGCCATGTGACTGCACACAGTGTATGTGCACATTGAAGCCAGCCACCCTGGAGCCCCCTCCCACACACCAAAGGCCTTCCAGACTGAGCAACCGATGCGTGCTGCAAGCAATTCTGAAGCCATCCTTTACACGATGACTTGTTTCAATGAACACAGCTGAAACCAAACATATTCTGAAAATATGTAAGCTTAAAGATCTGTCTAGACTTTTGAAAAGCAATATGTAAGAATATTTCTAAATTAAATTCTGTAAGCATACATTCATAGTAATTATTGTTATTGCATTTGCCCACCAGTGTCAGTTACAGACCTCAAATAAACTGTGCAGCTGCATGGAAAATAGCTCAACAAAGCGGCCGAAGAACGGTACGTGTAATGATAATGGGTGCTCTCCTTTGACTAAATAAATACCAGCTGCCCACTCTCCACCACAGAACATAGTATCTTCCAGAAAGGTCTTGACTACAACATAGAGGATGCCAAACAATTAGAATCTTTTGCAGCCTTGGAAGCAGCATTCAAAACTACAGGACTTACCATGGAGACCCAAGAAAACGTAAGGCATACAATTACACCACAGCCCAGAAGAATATAGAAATGGAACCAACTCAAATCAGAAGACAGAGCAGCCCTCAGAACTCTAAAGAAGGACCAAGCCATCACTATTCTCCCAGCAGACAAAGGCCAAACCACGGTTATCATGGACAGAACACAATACATACAGAAAGCCAAAGAGTTACTGGAGGATAAAGAAACCTACATCCCAGTGAACACCAACCCAATATGAAACTCGACAACCCAATCAAGAAAACCCTCAACAACTTCACCAAAAAAGGTGAAATCATAAAAGAACAGCGGCGGATGAAAAGCAGTGGACCTGTCTTTCCACACTTCTACAGATGTCCAAAAATACAGAAGCCCAATATACACTTTGTCCAATTGTATCATTACCAGGGACCCTAACTTACAACATATCCAAGGAACTAACAAAAAAGCTTGGACATCTCATAGAGGGGAAGAAAGAATCCATTGCAGGAGTACTACACAACATACCCAGCCTAACCAAATACATTAAGACTGAAATACCCAAACTCATGAAACTTATCAACCTCTGCCTCACTACCTACTTTCAGTTCAATGGACAAATACGCCAACACATCAGAGGAACACCACTCTCAGGATTCATAGCAGAGACTGTGATGCAGCATCTAGAAGCTAGACAGGCAGGAAATTATGCTACTACTCTCTTAAAAATAGGAAGATGCCCCTCCTCATATCAAATCTGAAATCTGCCTTTCCTAGGAACATGGGTTTTAAAGAAATTATTCCAATTTTTTCTAAAAGAAAACAGCACAAGATGTTTTGGAGTGTGTGGTACTGGTAGAAACCCAAACGCTGGAGTAAAAAGAAGGATTTTAATAAGGTGACAAAGGAAGTCAACAGCAAGTCTGAAGGCCCCTAGATCCACTATAAGGGGGCATACAGGCTTTGGACTCAGTGGATCCTTTCCTTTCCCCTACTCTTGGGAAACCAACAATTGAGGTTATTGTTCTTCCAATGAATCAGCCTTCAAGCTTTTCTGCTTGTGAACCTGGATCTCCCACTCTAGCCACAGAAAGAAGGTCTGCATCCTAACAGCATAGTCTAGCTCTATATCTTCCCAGTGAGCACAGTTTTGTGTCCTCATCAATCCCTGCTAGTAAATCAGTATATCAAGATAAAAGGTTTCAGTCCAATTTTTAGGAAATGTTAACTTTCCATGAAAAAACTCTGACATGAAACAAACATTAAAAAATGAGAGGTTCCATCTGCACTATGAAGCATAGCTGTTTAGACACTAGTGTCCACCAGAAATTGTAGGGTGAAGGAGAATGAAACATCGGCAGTGAAGGGCTTTTTTTTACTGTGGATGGAGAGTTTCACTGGGTTTGCGTCTCCCATTTCCTATAGTAGACTGGGATACAATTTCTTACACATAACTGTGGGAGGATGGACCTGCCTCCAGTTAGAAATTAACTGGTTAATGCTAAAGCAGAAAACCTGAATGTAAAAAAACTAGTCAAGAATAAAATTCATTCTAGATCCTACCCCAATTCAGGGATCAATCTCATTCATGGAAGCATCAGGTATCTTCCATTATCTGTAGAAAAAAAATCAGTGATATGTACCTTTGTTCCATTTTCCTACAGTAGTGGAGAGTATCTTTCACTGAAACACACTCAGGTGTTTTGGATAAGTACATAGAAATGGTTGCTGAAGTTACAGTGGTTTTGGAAGAATAAGCTGTGACTCCCTCCAGAAGAGCAACCAGCTGAGGCTCATAAGCAAAAGAAATGCAAGCCCTCCTACACCTGGAGATCATTGTTGTGGAGAACTTTCAACCAAGTATGGACTTCAAGAAAGAAACAAAGAGATTGCCTGAATTATGAAACTCATCTACCCAAGACAAATAAGCCTTCACAGCCAGTCCAATCGTCTCATCTGCACCATTTCTTCTCCAACCTGGATTTAGAGTTAGGTCAAAACAAGGGGAAAGCTTCTTTACTTCAGTGAAACAGGATGTTGAAAAGAAAAACAGAATTAGGGTGAAATATACACAACTCTTTCCTTGGAGAAAGAGTTCCAAGTCCCAACATTCTTTGGCTGTGATGACTGTATAAGCAACCTTGCATGAAAGCCGTTTTTGTGTAGTTCCCAAGAAGGAGACTTGTGAATGAGTACACATTTCAAATATGAGGCTACTGACTTGCAAGATTTTGCTTAATAATTACCTTAATAAAAGTAAGTAATTTGAGCCTTCATGTGGAGTTGATTTCCTGGTCTGGTCTATCTAGTGGGACTGACATCAATCTTGCATGTCTGTTGTGCTGTACCTCCTCCTCCTTCTTATACTCATTGAATTAGGGAGGTGTCTCCTTGAGCTGCTTCCAAATGTTATCCCATTGTTTCAGCCCCTTTTGCCTAGGTAACAGTTCCTGCGTATTTCCATGAAGCTCGTCTTCCTTACTCTCTACACTCAGTGACTAGGGCATATGCCTGCTGTGTTGAATTTATTGATCTTGCAATTGATTGGGAAAGCCAAGAGATCTACCACTGGGGTTGGCCTCATTATAAATTAAAAATCTTGGTGTGTTTAATTCCTCTGAATCCAGATCCACCTGACTGAATCAATCTGATGTCATATTGTGGAGGGTTTGGAATGTGTTCTGCAGAGAGAAAAAGATGAAGCCTGACTCATACTTGTAGTCTAGGAGCATCTATCATGACAGTGTGTACTTTCATGACTCCTCAACATATTCATCTGCATGTAGTCTCACTGTCCATTAGAACCAAAACACATTGATTTAGGTAGAAGAACTAGAAATCAACTGATACTAACTGAATGCTTGAAGTTCTAGAAAATATATACTGTGCTTGGCTTCCATGGCATGCCAGGCCCCTTGCACCATCTTGTCCATTCAGTGAGTCTCCCAGCTTCAGAGGTTAACAGCCATGGTGACTAACTCATGGAGTTGGCTCCACATAGACTGTTCCTTGTGGATGACTTGAGATAGAAAGGCCACTGCACTACAGTCAAAATGGAAATCCCCTGAGCAACGTCTGCCTGAAAATATAGCAGAATCAATTGTCAAGGATGAGGGAGCCCATCCCTGTTGTATTATGTCTGCAGACTACCCAGTTTCCTGACAGTATTTGTTTGGCACCTGATATTGACCTGACAAGCTCTGTAAGATTGGTTTCCTGTTGTACTGCTTCTCTTCAAATTTACTAGAAAGCCTAATCAATCCAGAGGTTTTGGTCCTGGTGAAGAGAGATGAGAAGATGATCTAGATAAGGATAAAAGTGAACCTACTCCTTCCTTAGGCAGGCCACCATCATGATCTTTTTCAATTCTCACAGTGATTAGGATTTGCCCAAATGGTCAACATATATATAGAAAAGGATTCAAAATGAAGTTCATGTGCTGCATGAATCAATACATGTATATATGGAGAGAAAGCACATATTTTTTCTGTAGGCATTCCAGAGTGCCAGACCTGAGTACCTCTATTCAGAACCTGTAGTATCTCATATATTTATCTACCTTTTTTTATTCATGATTGTGCTTAGCATCCACATGCTGGATGTTATCTAGAGACGGTAGGTGGTAAAATGTTGCAATCTCTTCCTACTGCTATGACTGTGCATTCGCTGTTGCTCCACTGTTGTTACTCTTTAGCCTCCCTGGAGTCATTCATCTTGGATTGTCAAAAAAAGAAGCACTTTTCCCCCATTTAATTAACTAGCACCTCCTCTAATGGGTCACCAAACAGTTTCCCCCCCTTGAAAAGTCCTGTGGCAGGAGCCTGCTTGGAGTCAGTCCACACTCTTATTCCTGTCCTAACAGGGGTACGTCTATCCCATCCACAGCTTATGCTTATTGGCTTGTTTACTGTTTCCTGACAACTCTTACCCTCACTGAGAGCATCATCTGATTTTGAAATGTTCACATATTCTAATGTGATGGTTTTGAGTACCAGAGAGCAGACAAAAACCTGACCCATACAGCCTTTAGAAAAATCAATTGCAATCTGCAACAGGGAAATTGCAATATATTAATACATTCTGTGAACATCTACTTGTGTATGCATGCATGCATAGCGGGGATCACAATCTCTTATGTTAGCACAGCATTTAATGCACAACCTCCAGTAAAAGGCATCTCTGGATGAAGACTTGTGCTACCAAGAAGAAAGGCTAGAAAAGCACCTTTCTCAGCTTGCAATACATCAACTCTCCAGAAATATGCATTGCGATTTTTCTCCCAATAGCCTTCTATTTTTTGTGCACACTCACCCTCACAACAATTGTCTCTCTCATCTCTTCCCCACTCAGTGTCCTGGGACGGAACAGTAACATAGCTATTGCCCTTCCATTAAAAAAAAAAAAAAAGGTTCAGGAAACCTCTGCTTTATGCCCACTTACCTTGCATTTGCCACTGCTGCTCTGACTACTGCCCAGGCCACGACAAAGACAACTGGGAAACCTACAAATATGAAAAATGTGTTGCCAGCTGTTAGAAGAGATTTCTCTTGAGAAATGAAATAAAAATGGAAAATCCCTTCTTCTCAGGCAAAGGAAAAGAACAGAAGCATTGGGATAGAGCAGGCACCATGGGGAACAAAGACTGTCAATCTGGGGTGGCTCAATCTTTCCAATATTATCCATCAATAAAGTTTCCATCTTTGACTCAATATGATAAAATTGAGTGTGTGTCTATGCGTTTGTATTTAAAATATTGATTTATTAGATCAGAGTCGTTATATATTTTATATGTTTTACCTGAACCATTATTGTCACAGAAATTACTTTGTTGAAGTTGTTTCAACTAAGAAGCCAATAATTTACCATTTTCCTCCACTCCCAATAGCTTTATATTGTTCAATTGATATTTTGTAAAGTAAATTAAGTTCTAGCTTAAAGTTCTTTAATTTAATTTTCATTTTTTGCTTTAGATTTTTATTTGTCCTTTTCTATGCATTATTACATCTATGACTATATATGCTTAAAAACATCCCAAGCCTCCATTACATTCACAGAAGGTCTATCTACAAAAAACATTCCTGAGACTCTTGTTTTATCTGTTTCATAAAAAGTAGATACTTTAATAATAATGTATTTCAAAACCATATTGAAAATAGGAGCATGATCAGTTTCCACTTACCAATTAAGCAATAAGATTCCAAAGCAAAGGATATAGCCCTTAACCTTGGAGAGAACTGAGACCATACATTGAGTTCATAACCAGATCAGCCAGAAAACCTTTGTTCTAAAATGCTGGATAATCCTGTTTTGCAAAAGCCTCCTGCCCAGATTGGCAATATTGAATGCATACTCTTGATTACTGTAGCTCTCTTGCCTTATAGTCTAAAACCAACCCTGATACTGAAGGGGAAAATATCATCATTAAGTATTTCACTCACTTGATCAACGTAAATTTTCAATATACTTATTAGATTTTTTTTTTTTTTTTTTTGCCTTCAAGTCAGTTTTGACTCCTGACAATTGCCTGGACAAGTCCCTGCAAGATTTTGGAAGTGGTTTGCCCTTGCTTCCTTCCTAAGACTGAGAGAGAATGACCAGTCCAAGGTCACCCAGCTGGCTTTGTGACCTTGAAAGACAGGACCAGAAAGCATGGTCTCCTGGTTTATAGCCTGATGCCTTAACCACTACACCAAACTGGCTCTCAGCATTAGATTAATTAAAATGTTATAATACATAATTGAATATACCATATAACCATTTTCCAATATTAACTGATCTTCAAATATTTCTAAAATAAAAAAGGCAATTGTACTTTCCCATATCACAAACAATTACAGGAATGCATACAGCTGTTTTCCACCAAGACAGCTTTTCTTCATCTAACTCAGCAAGTGCCTGTGGTTTAACGAGAGCCTCAGAGAATGAGACCCAACCCTGTTTGAGCTTGGAAGCTAAATAGGATTGTACCTGGCTAATTCTTGGCTGGTTGTCCACCAGATAATTCTAGGATTTTCCAGAAGAAGGCAGTGACATATTACTTCTGTACCATTGCCAAGAAAACTGCATGAAGTGACCAGAATTTGAGCTCAACTTAAGGGCATCTTTCTCTTTTCCAAAATTTGCTACCTTTTCTTATTTTAATTAGCTGTACCATGGATTGCTCTTCACTTAGTTTGTCACCAGCTAAGGCTTTGGTATAATTGATAGTCGTTTCATGTAGATAAATTACTTTTAAGGGAATTACTAGGATCATATTAAACATTGTACTTTAGCACTTACAGTGTATACAATATTTTGTCATATTCCTTGGATCTACCAGGTACAAGTAAATTAACTGATTTCAATTTCAACTAATTCCAGAGTAAGATATCCATAATCAGGTTTCTTTCTATCTATCTATCTATCTATCTATCTATCTATCTATCTATCTATCTATCTATC